TACTTTCATGACTTTTCTTGATAAAGTAGAATAAACCAACGTGACCATTTTTATTACAATAGTTCCACTTAAGAGTTTTGCACTTAGGTGTTTGATTAGCATGGCATGTACTGATAAAATTCTAACTGATGTTCTAAGGTTTATAACAAAGACCAGCCTTATTGTAACTCTTTGCTTACCTAATAGAAGATTCAAGTTGTCTCTTCCTTTAGTAAATCTTTCAAGTGTGTTTTGAAGATCGTTAACTTTATTTTCAAAATAATGTCACATTTTTCATACTTGTTAGATTCATCTAAGACCTCATGATATGGTGGAGAGCTTTGAGTTAGAACATTTTGTTTTTAAGATCTTCTATTTTTCTCAAAATATTTTTAGTTTTAAGTTTCAGGGAAGAAATAATGTCTTTGGAATTTAAAGACAATTTGTTGTAACTTACTTGCTTCGTTATTTAACTTCTTATAAATATTAAATAAATCACGATAGGAGAAAGGTCTAGTTACCTTATTTTTTCCATGGTCATCCATGAGACATATGTTATTTTTGTATATGAGGAATCCATGTCATTGTCATCACAAATAATGTATGGTTTCTTTTCTTCTTTATGTGGTTTCTTGAATATTTGTTGACTTTGACTTTGCTTTCTTCTTTGGTTCTTGTTTTGAAGGCAATTTGGTCTTATCTGCCCCCTTTTTCCCACATAGAATGCATGTAGGAATGAACGAAGATCTTCCTTCGTTTTTGCTTTTTTCTTCTTGTTGTGTCTTTCATGCTTCATTAATCTCTTGAAGTTTTGCACTATCATCGTCATTTCTCAATTTGAGTCAAATTCATTCTCTTCTTCATCCTTGAGAGATAGATTCTTCTTCTTCGTGTCTCCTTCTTCGTCATTAGCAAGTCTTTTTAAATCAATCTTGAAGGTGAGAAAAAGTACACAAGAAAGGAGGTTGAATTGTGTTTTCAATTTTCTTAATTTGCGTCTGATCAGAGTTTAGAATTTAAAATGGTGTTCAGATTCTGATTATACTTAGCAGTAGAATATTAACAAAAAGGTTCCTCCCAAGTGAGTGTAGTTCATTCCCCTTGCTTCACAAGAGATTTTCACTATAACCAAATAATGATTATAATCGCTTATGCATTCTGCATAAGACTTTTACAATGCTTAGACCCTAAGTCTGAGACTTCTTGCTTAAACCCCTAAGGCTCAAGACTTCCTTGCTCGAGTCCTACAGACTCAAGACTTCCTTGCTTAGACCCTCAGTCTATGACTTTCCTGCTTAGGTCCCTCAGACCCGAGAGTTCTGCTCAAGCCCCTCTGGCCCAAGACTTCCTGCTTAAACCCCTCAGGTTCAAGACTCTCTGCTTGGACCGCAGCCTAAGACTTTCCTACTTAAGCCCCTTAGGCTCAAGACTTATTCTCATACCCTCTATCTGAGCCTTCCTTGTTCAGATTCCACGAACCCAAGACTTCTTCTCAATCAATCCACTTAATTAAGACTTTCAATCCTCTAACACATAGTAGGAGACTTACATGACTCAATCATATTAGTGAGAGACTTGGATTTACTCAATCAACCTACTTGATTAAGACTTTCATTGCTCTAGCACATAGTAGGAGACTTATATGGTTCAAGCATCTTGGCGAGTATTAGCTCCTAAATTCGACACCTATTGCAAAATAAGAGATTTAAGGAGAAGCATTAAAAGCCTACTAGAGGCGAGAGTTGGTCGAAGGATGTGAGACAGCTAAGGGGGAGTGGTCAAAGCACGACCAGACTTGAAGAAAAATCACGAGGGCTTCGACCGCGACGTCATTTTGTAGATTTTCCAAAGATTTGAAATTCAAATAATTTGGAGGGAATAGTTTCGTTCGCCAGATGACTAAGAGGACACATGGCGCCCTATGAGCAACAGATCCATGCATCGCCACAAGTGGCGAAAGATGGTGATGTAGGAAGTTATTGGTAGTTATTTCTTGCTGTTATAAATAGGAAGTTTTAGACATAGAATGTGTGTGGGAATTTTAGTGTTGTACAAGTCACTCTTAAACTTACTCCAAGTATCCGAGTGTAGAGAAAGAGAGTATTGAAGAGAATGTACGTGATGTAAACACACCACCTTTTATTTTCCAATGAAGTTCACTTTACTTGTTTAAATTTTACAAAGCTTTCTTTATCTTTCTTGCAATCTTCTCCCCTTTCTATTCCCTCTTTACTTCGTCCTCATTTTAAACTCCTTTATTTTAAAAGCTTGTATCTTTTCTTTGCTAGAACTTTATGTACTTTTTCTCCTGTAGTCGAATAGGTAACCGTTAAGAACCTTCTCCCAAATATTGTCAAAAGTGTAAAACTTAGTTAAATGTTCAAAGAAAACCTTTTAGCACATGTCCTAGGATCAATCTGGTCGATCCTGTGAGTCACCAAAGTTAGATTTGGAAGATCAGCGGTTGTTTTCCAATTTTCAAGGAAAACAGCGAGAGACTTTGATTTTGTCAATCAATCTACTTGATTAAGACTTTCATTGCTCTAGCACATAGCAGGAGACTTACATGGCTCAAGCATCTTGGCGAGAGACTTTGATTTAAACTGCTAAACAACATGTTCAGCGGAATAGAGAACAAGGTGTACTTGATACAAATATCAAAGGTAAAGGAAAATCACCATAACAAAGACCTAAAGCTCTTAAGATTTCTAAGATATTCAATGTTTACGAAATCTTAAGGCTTTTACAATTACAACCTACAACAAAAATTCTACATAACCAATTGCGTTGATAATTGTTGATCTTGTTACTCCTCGATCAAGTTGATCCTTGTTAAATATTTAGTTTGAACCTTCAGCTACTTATATAACATTTGTAGAAGACTAGTCGTTGAAGAGATAACTTGATCAAATGTCTTTGCTTTCTCCATAGTACAAGATACGTTGAAGATAGATACATCAAAAGATCTTGATCCAATGTGTGTCGTGTTTAACCACTGAGTCTTCAAAGAGATCTTGTACTATATAGTCGTTGAGAGTAGATATCCTTAAAGCATGCAAACTTTTCTTGAGCCTTGTGAACTAAGACTCTAGCTGACAAACTGATTTGACAATGCAGCTTGCTTTCTGTAATACAAACAACTTCAACTTTATCACTAACTCTGAATGATCATCGAAAGTCAGTTTACATTCACTAAGTGTAGAGACAATTATGTTACTTCTTCTGATGATGAGACCTTCAGCTTCCGAGTCTACGTCAGACATCACTTAGAGAGTGTTCTTTAGATTCTACACCATCAGAAGTTAGCAATTCAACTTCTATATATTTACAAGTATTAGAACATGCATACATGAAACACACATCAAATATAATCGTTGTTCTTTTAATACTTTGTTATCATCAAAACTCAAGGAATATATGTCATAAACAAATCTTATTCTAACAAATCTCACGTTGCTCCAATTTACCAAACAATGTTGCCATATTAATGGTAAATAAATCCCTAAATTAAAAAATCACAGTGATTTTTGGTTGCCAACCACGATTTAGGTATCTAAGGACTTTTACAACCAAATCCTCTTTTGAAAAGTTTTTCCAAGAGTTCTTATGTGACTCATGATATCAGTGAATCATTTTTACATGTCATATATTCTATTTAGGTTTTATTTTGAAGAGCTCAAACTCATGGGTCAATGTGTTCACCATCGACCTCTTTATCTCAGTAGTATCTTTAAGGATAATTTAGAGTGTATCCTACATTTTTTTGGCAATGAAATACACACAAAATCTTATCAAAATAGAGATCAATAGTGATGATTATTTTAACTTAAACACTACATTGCATATCTTATTTCTCTTCGTTGGTCCAATCATCTTCATTATTTTTGTTCACCACAACATATTAACTTCATGAGTGGGAATAGACGAACCTTCTTTCATCACCTTTCAAATACCACAATTCATTCCCTCAATAAAGATTCCCATCTTCTCTTTCTACAAACTATAGCCTTCTCCATTAAATGATGGAGGTTTGTTTAGTGAATCGATTGAAGCCATTTACTTTCTCCTAAGACGATTAATCTTAACATAAGTTATGCTCTAATGCCACTTGTTAAACATATGTCTCCAAACACCAGTAAGTGAAAGAAGAAAAAATAAAAGCTTCCACTTTCAAGACATTCGTAAAGGATAATGAAGATAATTCAAATGAAGCCAGCATTTGAAGCATAACTAGAGAAACTCCATAAATTTTAAAAAGACCAACTAACCAAAGAGATGGAAAGACAATAAGAAGGATGAAAAGAAATCTACGCTTTGAATGTGGTAAACCCGACCATTTTTTTAACCAGGTGTCCAAGGTTGTCCAAACACAAAAATAAACAAGATTTATATAAATCAAAGAATAAGAGTAAAGAAGAAAAGCCTATATTACATGAGAAGAAGATGAGGACTCATCTTCCAATTCTAGCTCAAGAGAAGAATTAGCTAATGTATGCTTGATGGCTGGACACAAAACTCGACAGTAAGTCATTTCTATTCTTACTCTTACATTCTTACCATTCTATTATCAATAAATATTATTATATAACCAGTTTAAATAAACTAAACCTTTAGGCTTTAGTAAAAAAACAAATCAACCTTTTAAAAAAAGAAAATTAAATCACCGATAAGTAAAAGGTTCAATCTATCTATGCCATTTATGTAACCAGTTTAAATAAACTAAACCATAATCACTGCTTGTCTCATGAAGCCAATGAAGATGCAAGTTTCCTTATACTTGTTTACCAAAGAAAAAGACAAAGTACAAAAGAAAGTGGCATCATTTGGTGAGGAGGGAAAAATGAATTTCAATGAAATGTTTTAAACCAAAAATATTATACAGAACAGTGATATCACCCAGTGTACTAAATCTTCTCTAGCCACCTTCCAAAATGTTGTTGCCCTTGGGGCTTAAAACTTAGACATTTCAAAGCAGCATCAACCATTGGCAATTCTAGATTTCTAGTCAGGTTTTGTAGTAATTATGAGAACATTCTGAGGAAGTTGTTTGCATAAGCCATTGGCTTAACATCAGGGTGTGGCTGCAAAAACAAGAATGTGTATCAAAACCACATAGCATCACAAATTGAATGAAGATGTGTATAACACAATCACATTGCAGCAGAATGTTTGTGTAAAATTAAGAGTTATATTTTTGTTCATTATTTTCAGTGTTATCGATTGCGGATGGCAGACTATGGTGAAATGAAAGAAGAAAAAAAAGTTCCAACATTTTAAGCTGTCATGTCCGTCATAAAACATCCTGACATGGCCATCATTCACAAAACAGTCATATGGCAGCAGAGTAGTCGATCCCGGATAGCAGCGTGGAGCGCCCGACCCCAAAAATGGGATAGCGGGATGGCCGCTATTTGATCATTTTTTGGACAAATTACATGAATAATAATTATAAACATATGAAGTACAGAGGGATGAATGAAGTGCAGAGAAAGGTGAGGGAGGAGGAACTTGTGATTTTTCTTTGGAACGACTGAAAGTGTAGAAACGTGTCGGTGAAGGAAGGTAAGGATTGAGTCTCAACTAAAATTTGATTGCAAACCCCAAAATTACCCTTAACACATTTTTAATTTAAGGGGTAATTTTGGTTTTTCAGAGGGGAAAAGGATGGCGGGACTCCGGACCAGAAACCTCTCAGCCCCAGCTACCCATTATTTACCCTATAGCGGCCGCTATAGTTTTCTGCACCACTAAGGCTCTTCCAATAGCGGCGCTATCCCACTATAGCAGGGCGGAGCTGAGGCCGGCTGGCAGCTAAGGCTCCACTCCGCTATAGCAGGATGGCACCGCTATTGGCCACTATTGACAACTCTGTATGACAGTTATGAAAATCTATGATGGCCGATATTTAACAGCACTAATTTCTTTCCCTTTTCATTTTTAATTATCATTACAATACATAATAACATTGGCAGACTTCAAAGTTCGAAAGATACTAACCACTGATGCGAATGTAATAATGTTAGGTTTCAAATCAGGCGCTTCAAATCGAATAAAGGCACCTTTGTTACCCATCTACAGAAAGAAAAAAAAGGAAAAAACTCAGCACATACATATTTCATACGATGATAAGTGATTACTTAGATACATTAATATAAGATGCGTGCTTTGCACGGTCACAATAATTTTCCGGCACATGCTATAAAGTTATTCAAGAAAGAATGTTGTAACAAAAGGGATATAGTTACCTGATCACAGTAATTTGGAGCAGAAAACACAGTTATGAGTTTCCCGTCATGTTCAATCTCATATCCCTCGTCCTTTACTTCATGGGATCGGACGACTAAATCTGCAAAATGATAATCCATATGAAGTCACTGTTGAAAGAAGAAATAATGTATTAGACGAATGGAAAACATACCTAAGTTATTTTCCTTCAAGAACCTTTTTGTAACATCTGCACCAAAAGAAAGTCCTACACCGCGCTTGCTTGGGCCTCTTCCAGGGATAGGCTGTGGGTCACTCCATAGCAACTCACACATCAACCCTACACATACCAAACATAGAGGCATAATTAAAACTACAATACAAACATGGATTTAGAAGAATGATTAAAAAAAGATTATGATGAATCTTACCTTCCTCGGGAGGCTCACAAAACCGATTAATTGATCGGATTTCAGAGAGTTTGACACCATCAACACTAAAAAGACCACCGTGGACTACAAAAACTTTCTCATTTATAACATGAGCCAAAGGTAAACAGCAGAATACTTCCGCAAATAGTTCGACAAACGTTTCATTCAACTTCGAGCGCACCTCACCCTCAAAACCATATATCTTGTTCATGCTCTTGCTCTCGTGATTTCCTCTAGCTAGATATATGGCTGAAAATAATATAGCAACAAAACAAGTTACAACATCCCAGTTAACAAAGTGAAGTGATATTTATGTAAAATCCAATGGCACAAAAAGGATTAAGAGAGAATAAATTCATTTCGTATAAAAAAAAAATAAAAGCTAATAAAGAGCTAGAGTTTACCTGATGGAGACATGCACTTAAATGCAAACAAAGTGAGAATGACTTCCAAAGAAAATGATCCTCTATCCACAAAGTCACCATTAAAGAGATATGGATTTTCTTCTGAAGGAAGACCATTGAGCTCAAAAATATTCATAAGATCATAAAACTGCAGAAGTCATGAAATGTAAATTGAAAGGGTTAAGAATTAAATAAAAACAATAAAATAAATCACAGAAGCCGAGCAAAATGAATTCCAGAATTTTTAAGGATAAATTCACACAGCAACCTCCTCTGCGGGATAAAATCGATTTTTTAATAGATTAATGTAGTTATATTCTCGATTCAAATGTGGCACAACACAAATAAACCAAACAAAAAAACTAACTAGCAAGCTTATCAACCACAAAAGTCTCCAGTCCCTCCGCATAATGGTCATGGAAACGCGTATCGTGAATAATGGTTTGAAAAATCAAAGATGACATTAATATTATCCTCTAAATATCTTTAAGTAATGAAAAGCCACCTTGAAGATATTAGCAGCAATTTGTTTTACTAAATTCAAAAGTTACCTAGCAACTTCAGCACCGCTTAGAATCAAAATCAGGTCTGAGAAAAAACACACTTAAAAATTAAAGCAATATAATAAAACCAATTAACCAATTACCTGACCATGCACATCACCACAAACAGTAAAACGTTTTCCATTTGGAACCGTTATGTCGACAAGAGAAGGCAAAGCTTGCAACATCTCTTTCGTTTGCAATACAATCTGGAATGCATACCTAAAACATTGAAGAACAAATTTGAGTACATTTTAAGAAAGAAAAAAACATGCATACAACAAAAATTCTTTCTTCAATACCGTTTATGCAAGCATTGCTGTTTCTTGAAATCATCCATCATTTTCTTTACAAAATCCAAAGTAATAACATCTCCCTCTATTCTTGCTCCAGAATACTGTGGCTCGACATCTATTTTTTGAAATAAAACACCGAAAATAAATCATGGTCATGAGTGAAATCAAATGCTATATCGAAACACAAAATTACTTTAATAGTAATACTGGACAAAAAAAGGCTATGAAAATAGAACTAGTTTAATAATAATTGCATTTAACAGCACAAAAGAAAAGTTCAAACTTGCAAACAGCTGGAGAAAATAACAAGTATTAGGCATAACATATATCTTTTCTTTACCATCCACTTTCTCTTACAGTTTCAAATTAAATATTACCCCGACAAGTAAAATTAGAAGTACGTAAAATCCATAATGCTTATTACTTTTTAAATTTAGAAAATACACCAAAATTTGGAACCTAGCAGCAATGTGCAAAAGCATGGTCCTATATTAGTCTCAAAAGAGTAATAAACACATTCTAATGACCTAAGACACACAAGATGGTCTTTATTTTCTTAGGTTGAATTGTAACTTGATGCAAAAAAAATTAAAAATAAAAAAAACCAATACAAAGAATTGTAAGTTTATCTCCTAATGCATTATCGATAATGATTCTACTTGACTTGTATCAAATTCTCAATTGAATTAGGATCAACCGTCCTATGATTAGTTGGTTTTAGGTCTTGATTAATTTTAAGCTTAGACTTAGGCCTTGTAAATGACTCCTAAATGTACCAGTATTGTAGCCATTCCACCAAAATGCCCACAGGACCAACAGCAAACCGACCACAACAATTGCAGCTGCTAATGTGGTCTTTGATGTCCTGAACAACATAACCACCACTGACATAACTGCTACTGTCACTGCTGCCATGGCAACTTCGGTTGGCACCGAAGAATTGCGGCCCTTTCCTATAATGAAGAGTGATAACTTATAGTGAAGTATGCAAACATCCAATACTGATATGCATAAAATGGCCCTAGAACTTATGGATGATTAAAGTATGTCATGGAACATGAGAGCATGACTACTGACTTGGGGAAAAAAATAAAACCCTATGTATCAATAAGAGGCGTTAAAAAATGGTTTAATGTGATCATTTTTAAGGTGTCTTCTTCAAACATAAGACTCAACTATTGATAAATTTCCTTTTAATTTTTTATTTTTATTTTTCTGCATTCTAAAATCTAAAATACAAATTAAAAGGGTGAAGGAGAAAGAAACAGAAGGCAGAAGTCTGAGGTAGACGAAAGATAGGAAGCAAAAATCATCTATATCGGTGATAAGAAGTTTTCCCTTTTAGTTCACGTATTGGACAAACAAGTATCCAGCTAATTCAATCATAACGAACTTATAGTTAACTAAGTATAATAAAAACATTAATGCAAGAATTAGTTTGAACCTTGGCAAATACTAATTATATTATATGACTAAAAAGAGGAAACAATGTGAAAACAATATGCAAATTGTAATTATTAGTGAAATCAAGAAAACAAATCAACACATTTTTTATTAATCAAACATGCCCAAAGATCCAAAACACAGAAACTAGATGGATATATAGTCAATGACAGCCACGAATATGAAAAAGGAAGATGTCAGAGTAGATGAGGTCATACACTTATACGTATTTTAAATATGTCTATCATATCAGCCCAACCACCAACCTTCCAAGCAACCAATACAAAACAAAGATAAAATCTTAAGCGTTGAGTGAAGATTTCTATCTCATTATTATATTGGTTGTAGAAAAAAGTTTAAGCATCAGATGTTTTAATATTCATTTATGTTCAAATCGAGATTGTATTCACCCATTTAGCTCTTCTTATCAACTTTGAATTTCATAAATTTCTGATTAAGAATGAAAACAAATCCACCAAGGATTTACATATGCAGCCAAGAAAAGAACTTGATATGTTGCAAATCAAATCCCAAAATTCATAGCAAAATGGTCCGTTAAACTGCTCTCATTGCTACTCAGACCACCATCATCACTACTAATTGCTCAAAGAAATAATATACATAACTTATTCAAATATTGCCAAAACAAATGCAAATGAATTAAAACTATAAATTGAAACTAGATATTAATTGACATCTTACCATCTAATCTAGCCTGTGTGAGAATGAACAAGTTAAACGACGGAATCAAATCCATCCATAATACAATTAAATCAGGAGACCAACCGAACAATGTCATGAAAAACTGAAAGTCACGCCCCTAAACATAACTAATTGCTCCATTTTTCACATCAAAGATATCAGGATCATTGAAAACATGTGTCTATATATGAAAGAATACTAACTCGAGGTCAAAAGATATTTATAAATAGAGACCTTGTACCAAACTTCCAGATAATTAAAAAAACTACAGCTAGTCTTCTAAGGGCTTGCTATTTGAACTTCAGGGCTTGCTATTTGAACTTCACATCATGAGATGATAAAACACAAGCATAAAAAATTTGACAACAAAAAAGTGGTCCGCCAAGAGAGGGAGGCTTAGAAGAAGAAAAAAAATATAAAATAAAGATATTAGCATACGAAACATATTCAAAATAGTACCTATTGAACGAAAATCTACGGATTCAGCTATTGGACGTTTCACGGATCCTGGTACAGCAATAGCTTCTTCAAATTTCAGTTTCATAACTGCTTTTTCACATTCCTTCAATTTTTTTGTTGCATCAGGATCATTTGGACACATTTTCTTGACCTGGTCAGTATAAGTATATCATATCAAACATGTTTGCAGATTGAAACAAGTAGATATTACAAAAACAAACAAAAACAAGAGCGGTAGTCAAAGTTATTTTCAAGGAAAGTAAAAAAACTAGTTATTGGCTTAAAAGATATTCCATATGAGGTCAAAGAAGCTATCAGTTTCTAACAATTTAAACAAGCATTAGCAACTAGTAAGTAAGTTTTTAGGAAAATTGCACCAGGGGACTTCTATTCTATTTTTTGTACCAATGTAGTATTTTTTTTCTTTTTCTCGTGTCATGTTAGTTTCTTTGCATTTAAAAATGTGTACACCATTGATATAAAAAATTAAAATAGGAATTGGTATTTTGCCTGTTCTTAAAAACTTACATTTCTAGAGTTAAAAAGTGGGTTTGCAAGTCAGCCTCTATTAAGCCTAAGGGCTCCAAATAGGAATTGGTATTTTATTAGTTGATATAAGGAAGAATTTTCAATCTTTTGAGGCTCTACTACCTCCCTTCCTTATTTATCTATATAACTCAACCTAATTATGTCCAACTAAATAAAGTAATGAGAAACAACTAATATGGCAGTTTTTCCTAACAATGCTCTCCCTTCCCTTGTTTGAAGTTTCTGAACGTGATTTGTTTGGAATTTCTACAGTCTGCATATAAGTCAGGACTTCTTTCCTTCAAACCACAGTCCCATCTCTAAGTTTTGCACTACATTCAGTGGTTGGTGGTAGCAATTGAATTGAAACAGCAGCACAACCATTGTACAGAAAAAAGATATCATGTTAAGAGTAACCCTGCATGCCTCTAATTTTTTTATTTCGCGAAAAAATTGCCTTTTGAATTGAAACAGCAGCACAACCATTTTACAGAAAAATGACACTTTTGAAAACGTTGTCTGCAATATCTCTCTTTCTTTCGCTGTTCTTTAATTTTCATCATTAAGGGTAGCTGTAACCCTTTAAACTGATATTAGACCAGGAAAAACTACCGAACATATTTCCAATGAATTATACCTATTTCTTGTCACATAAGTTCCTATCGTTATTGTCAGTTTCTCTAAATTGCTAAAATTAACAAAGTTTTATAAAATATTCTAAACAATTTAGTTTAGACATTCTCCGAGTTTCTCTTTGGTATTACTTTTATTTATATGCCTAATGAAAGGGCTATGAACACTTATCTATTAATGTTCTCCGATAATGCATTGCAACTGATTGCAAGTATGTTAGTGTTACCTGCTGAAAATCTTTCAGTGCTTCCTTGAATTTTCCCAACCCAAGATGAGCAGCACCTCGCCTGTAATATCCCTATAACAAAAAAGCATAATTGTTTGAAACAAATACAGTTATTAAAGATAACTAAATACAAGAGAGGATCTAAAGTTTTAAGAGTTGGAGAACCTTTGAATATTTAGGATCAACTTCAATAGCCTTTGTAGCATCTAATATTGCGCTACCATATTCCTCAAGCCGGAGATGAGCAAAGGCACGATTAGCATAGTAAACTGCACTTTGACTGTTTAGCTCAATTGCTTGTGTATATAGATCAATAGCGTGGGAAAATTTCCGATCTGAAAAAAGAAATTCACGAAATCAGCAAATGTTGGCATATAGAATTGTTAAAGAAGCAGGTCATTGCAAACAGCATTCACAATCTCTCTTAATTATATGTAGTGTCGCCAGTGTAGTCAAGATCGAGTGCTAGGTCTTAAGATCTTAAGTGCTGAAGTTGCCCTTTAGTGCTACGATCTTAGAAAAAACTTTTTTTGTGCATTTTGTGGTCAAGATCGAGTGTTGGGTCTTAAGATCTTACGATCTTACGTGCTGAAATTGCTTTTTACATGACTATCATGATATGGGAATACATAATACCTTAGATGATTAGACTTGTTTGTTAGATTTATGTTTTTTAACTACTTTTTTGAACAAAGTCTTTTGAACTTGTTAAATTATGGAATGATAGTTATGAGTTATTAATTTAATTGGTTGAATTTAGTGATTTATAGGTTATTTTGTTCATATATTATAATTTTCATGTTTTTGTGTGTGGATATGTATGTCAAATTACCATTTCTCCCTTCAATAAGATCTTAAGTGCCGTGTTACGATCCTAGTTTTACGATCTTTCACAGACCGTCCGATCCTACTTAAGATCCTATGCTTGACTACCTTGAGTGTCGCCTTAATCGATAATATGTAGAGGGAAGCATAATCTTAAATCACATATGATATTTTCTCTAATTACGTGATAATCAACAATGAAGTATGAAAGTGTTACTCATCAAATTGAATCAGATTCCAAGATTCAGCTTAAGTTTAATTTACCACAAAAATAATTGTCATGTTAAAAGCAAGTAAATAATCATTGTATCAGTATTAATTACCTTTGAATGCTTCATTAGCAAGGACTTTAAACTCTTCAGCCTTTGCGACATTATGCTCTTCAGTTGCCATTCTAGTTAAAGCTTTTGTTGTATATGGTGATGAAACTCAGAACATAACAGAGTCAATCCTTTCCTCACAGTAATCAACCAACTACAATAAAACAGAAAAAATATTAAAAGTATAATATTAACCAGCGTAGCAAAGAATCTATATCAGAAATCACATTAGATGAATTGCTTGAAATCATCAATCTTAGAAAAAATAGTGTTGAAAAGATTGATAAAGCTTGAAAAACAGATGGAGAGAATGCATACAGTACATATATGAACACAGAAAAATTTAACTAGTAATTTATCATAATCATAATGAATATAAGCCTCCTTAATTCATCATCACTCATAAGTCATAGCGTTAAAAGTAGGGTCAACCTATGTAGCATAGACACTTCAGATGAAAGGTGTGTTTGATTTCTAGCTATGTAGCATAGACACTTCAGATGAAAGGTGTGTCCGATATTTACCTACTCCGAAGCATGGGCACTTCTAAAATGGTGAAGTACCGGTACCGGGTACGCACCCGTATCGGGTACTCGTACCGTACTCGTGATAATTCATTTTTTCTCATTATTCGATTTTGAATGAAATTTATGGTTTTCTCAAATATTAATATAGTATAATTATGTGTTTTAATTTTTTTTGTTACTATATCTTAACATTATTATTGGTTTTTTCTATTTTTTATAGTGATGTTTTATTATAAACCTAATAATTTTGTTCTCTATTCATATATTTTATAGAAAATTCTTATTTTTTATTAATGTACCCGTACCTTGATTTTTTTTTTAAATGTTGTATCTTGTACCAGTACCAGCACCCGCACCAGGTACTGTACTCGTACCTATGCATCATAGTCTACCTATGTAGCATAGACACTCAAGATTAAAGGTGTGTCCGATAGCTGAAACCTTCACATGAGATTATATTCAAATAGGTCTATTTTCTCAAATAATTATCCTACCTTTGGTCCTATTTATAAGAAAAAATTTGCTTTTTAAATTCATTCAATAACTAATAACTAATGCATCTCTCAATATTTTTCAATGAATGTAAAAAGCAGACTTCTTCTTATAAATAGGACCAGCGGGAGTAGTTGCCAACATGTCAATGTAATGAGTGTTTTATTTAGGTCAACTCACCTAATCTTTCTACTCATTCTAATGAAAAAATTAAAACCCTAATAACCATAATCACATCATTATCATGGTCAACAAACAAACATAATCATTCACCAATGCAAACCTAGCATCCTTGGAGTATATTAACCAAAATAATCAACGAAAACAATTAACCCTCCAAACGCAACTAAATCAAAGGGATTTAACAATACGCAAACCCCAACAAAAAAATCAAAACTTGATGAAAAGGGTATCCTTAGATTTTTGTTTCAGCTGCACAAACACGAATAGGAAAAACTAGAAGGAACAAAAACGCTGTCTTTAATATTGTCAATAGGATTAGAAGATAAAAATACATGCAAAAAAAAAGATTCATTCAGAGTTGTTGTTAAAGGTTGTAATCAGTGGGAGAACGTAATCTGAAGCCTATGGGTAGTTGAAGAGAAGCAGTAGAGTGGGAAGAAAAAGAAGAAGAAGAAGATCTAGGTATGGTTCAATTGAGAGAGAGAGAGAGAGAGAGAGAGAGAGAGAGAGAGAGAGAGAGAGAGAGAGAGAGAGAGAATTTACCGGCGTTGGGGGCTGCTGGAACAGTGAGGGGATTCTGTAAGTTGAGAGACACCCTAATAACAATCACTTCGTTCTTCAACTTCCCACTTATGTTTTCTTTCATTAAATTTTATTATTTATTGTTGATTATCAATTTTATAAAAAAATTATTAATTATTACTTATTAATTAAAAAATTAAATAAATAAAAATTTATAAACAAAAATTATATTAAGAAAGTTACACTCCAATTTAATGTAATGTTATTGATATTTGATTATTGCATGATAAATTTTAAAGAGATATAAACTAGTATAAAAAATTTAAAGATGACTTTTTTTAGTATTATGGTCAAATTATTAAATTAAATTATTTGTTAAAATAGATCAAATAAAATACAAATTATTTAGATAAAAATAATTATATTAAATAGGTTTAAATAATCAATTGATTTTGGTAAGTATGTGTGGTTTTTATTTTGGTGTATATATTTTTTTAATGAAATTCTTAAATGTTAGATTTTCATTTAGTCTTAGTCTCTAATGTTAACCATTTGTTACAAAAATGATGATGTAGCTAATGTTGATGTTGTGAATTTAATTTTTTTAAGTTTCAATTGATGAATTAGATGATGATGTGGATTAAATTGTTTAGTCGTATTAAAAGGAATGATAAAATTTAAAAAATAAATGTTATTTCAAAATCATCTTCTTCTTTCTCATTTTTGCGCTAACGCCATCTTCTTCTTTCCTCCATTTTTGCTTTATCCTCTTCTTTTCTTCATTTTTTCGTATTGAAGCATGTTTAATTTCCATTTTGGAAACTCAACCATGTCTAATTACCCTTATTCTAACTTTGTCATTTTTCACAAATTTAATCTCTTTCCCTCATTCAATATTGACCATTCAGTAATTGCTTCCTTAAATTCATCAAGTGATAGAAACTTCAACCCCACTCTGAACTTATAATTCTTGTCTAACTTGTTCATCCGAAATTTATCATACTTTGCTCCCTTCTCATTATTTTAAGCATCAAGGTCACTGCTACCAAGCTCATCGCCATAATAGTTAGTCTCCATCTCATTATCAGCGCCCACACAATTTGATGAACTTACATTTTCGGCACCCTTCACAATATTCTTTGGAGTTTGCTTGTACTTCTTTGAAAAACATTTTACCTTACCTATTTTGCCATTACCATCATCTTGTTTATCCTTTATGTCAGAGCCATCATCCAACCCTAAATCCATATCTTCCTCACTATCATTAAATGTTACACCAGTAATTTCATAATCACTATTAACACTATCATCACTTTCATCTTCAATACTAACTCCCTTATCACATTATCTTTTTCAACATTACAACATCACATTGTTCATGTTCTTAAACATTAACTTAACCATCATCTTGTTTGTCTTTTTCAACATTAACCTCATCATCATCTTATTTCTCTTATTTAACATTAACTCCACCAGCATCGTGTTCCTCTTCTTCAACATTAACTCTAACTACACCTTTAATTGAATGATCAACATATAAATGCATTACACATTTCATTTCATTCGCATATTTATAAACCTCATAAGCATTTTTATCATTCCTCATTCTCTCGTACTTATCCACATCATTTTTATGACACGATAACCTTTAGTAACAATATCGTTGGAAATAGGCTTACCTAGAGCATTCAATTGATTGATAAGATGTGTGAATCGTTTTCGCATGTTCGCAATGGTTTCACCATGCTCCATGCAAAATAGTTCAAACTCTTGATTTAAGGTACGGATCCTAGCTTATTTGATATCATTAGTTCCCTCATGAACAACTTCTAATGTATCCCACATAGCTTTGGCGATTGCACAATGTGAGACACAATAATATTCATAAACACTTAGTGCGGATGTGAGAATATTTTGTGCCTTCCAATCATGTGACCACAATTTTTTATCATTATCATTCCATTGTACTTTCGGTTTAGGTACGGTAACACCTTCACTATTGATCATTGTAATTTCAATAGGACCATTCATGATGGCATCCTATATACCCTTGTCAACCGAGTTAACATGAATACGCATACAAGCTTTTCAATAGCCATAGTTTTTGCCAGTGAAAATTGGTGCTCTATTGTACGCTCCTTTAGGTTCAGTAGTGTCGTACCCCAAATTTTACCCTTAGATTCATTGATCATTTGTATATCATCATCCTTCGTTTTAGCTAACCATTTTAATCAGTTTGTCTGTTTTGTTTTATGAAGACGGGTTCGCTGCAGAGAGTGCAGATCATAAAGGTTGTATATATGCTCATCTGGCTCATATCCTGAAAAGTCGTGATTGAATTCCTGTGGATATAAGGGAGGATATATTGTTAGACGATGACACGGATCTAGAAAGGGGGGGGTTGAATAGATCCTAATTAAAATATTAGTCGGCGCTACCAATTAAAATTTTATTTTAAAAATATTTGATATGCGGAAGCGGCCGTGGAAAAATACCGTCTATAACGAATCGTTATTAGAAGACCGGATATGCATCTAGCCTCATGAAAATGATAATGAGCAAATAGAATTACCACACTATCAATTGATTAATATCACTAATTAGTAAGACTAGTTCCAATGCTACACAACGCCACCAAAATATGTAAACAATACAAGTGAATTTTGGTGTAGACAATTTATCAAACACTTGGCGTGCAAAGCACTCCAAGTGAGTTTTTCCTTGAGTAAGTAACTCTAGCTTCCTTGTACGATACACTATTGTACTAGAGTTAAAAACAGTGTTAAGCACTTACTCAAACCAATGCTAACTTTGATAAAATTGCTTATACTAAAATTACTCAATTATCAAGCAAAAATGAAAATGCTGAAAAATAAAAGGCACAAAGATTTGTTGAGGCAGTTCCTCCGTCGTCCTCACTTCGGGGTATGTCTGCCCTCAATTCTAAAACTAGAATTGAGCTTAATATAATATAGATATCACCTGTTGAGTTGAAACATTTATACAAGGATAGACAAGCAAAATATACAAACAAAATCTCTGGTTATTGATGATGCTTTCTCTCCTTGTTCCTTGACTCAAGTTGAATCAAGTCCTTCGATTGTTGTGGATAGACCTTCGATTACAGCCCTTTTGTTGAATAACCTTGCTTTCTTCAAACCCCAGCTCGGTTGATCTCAAACACCAACAAATCGAACCCGAATGTCTCCTACGCAATTCACCGATTGTCGTTACTAGATTGACCGAACCCACCGTTCCTCAATCACCTTCGCTCAGCTGAATATTATAGAGACGATTCGTACCAAAAACCCTTAAATTCGATAAATCTTGGAGGACAAAACCTTCAAGG